TAACAAATCCAAAATATTTTATAATATCATCTAATTTATTATTGACAACTGCAAAGAAAAATAGTACACTACATGATTTATTATACAAAAATTAATAAATAAAATAAAATATTTGGTTATCAATGTAGAAAGTATTAGAATGCGTATCAATTTTCTTTAATTTTTGGGTTTCTAAAATAAATTAGTGGAAGAGATTGTATGAATTCTATCTTTAAATTAATATTACTAAATTTATGTTAAAGACCATCATGCTATAAAAATTAAAAATATAATTAGACTATTTATTCCTAGGTTGTATTAAGAAATACCTTTTATTTTTTTGACAAGAAATACTTATTGTGTTATCTTTTAATTTTTTTTTTACAAGAAAAATATGATACTTGCTGATTATCTTTTTTTTTTTTTTGACGAAAGAAGATGTTGTACTACATTTTTTTTTTTCTTGTTGTATTACTTTTTATTTATTTTTACATGAAAAATAAAAAAATGATTTTGCCAAAGTACATTTTAGTTTTTTATGCCTTTTGTGTTTTATTTTTTTGCAAGAAATACTTGTTATATTACTTTGTATTTTTTTTACAAGAAAAATAAAAAATTATTGTATTATCTTTTTTATCTTTATCTTAAAAAGCCTTTTATTTTTTATTTTTTTTATTTTTTTACAACAATATTTTCTGCCTTTTTATATTTTTTTGACAACAAAAATATAAACGAGGACGCGTGCTAAAGGGTTTGAACTCTAGACATCCACCAAAAAATTGGAGATGTCAACCAACACTGCCACATCGCCTAATGTGATTTTATCAGCTTCTATAATAATATATATTCAATCGTTATGCTTTAATGATTTTTTGTCGGGATTATCGCATCGAATAATGAATGTCGCTTTGTTCTCTATAAATTCTTATGTAATAGATGTTGCATTGCGCGTGTAGAAAAGCGAGGGGGCAGACATGTGAGGTGAGTTATCACATGTGGAGGATTTTTTGGTGCCACGTGTTGTTCTCGTAAAGCGGCCACCTGTAAACCCAAAAAATTACTAGAATGCCCAGGCTTTTTCAATGAGACTCGCGATGATTCACTATTGGGAATCGCCCGGTTCTCTCTGGACACGGGTGATTCCCTGTTTTTTTGTGGAACTGGCTCGGTTGCCGGTGATTCCCAAGTCGAATCAGGCGAGTCCGACTCGACTCGGCGAATTTTCAAACCCTGGTCAAAACTGATAAATTCAAGGATTTTTTAATTACAAAATTCCAGCGTAAATCAAACACATGAGCGGGTACTCTTGTACTCATATTTCAGTCATCCAGATTTCAAAATTGGATAAGTTTTTTTGCTTCCTAGTTTTAGTCTCCAAAGACCAACTAATTTTGTTATGGGTTTTCCCTAATTTGATTATTATTATTATTATTAGTTGAAATTATTGCAGGTGGTCCCAAGGGGTACTTGATGTCCCTTGCCTCTATCTCTTTCTATAAATTGAAGGCAAGGCCCTGGCCCAAGCCAGAGAGCAATACATCTCATTGCTTTTGAGAGAGAGAGAATGGAGTCTACAAGGGTAGAGAAACCTCATGCCCTGTGTTTCCCACTTCCCGCTCAAGGCCATATTAACCCCATGATGCACCTTGCTAAGCTTCTCCATGCTAGAGGCTTTTACATTACTTTTGTCAACACTGAATTTAACCATGAGCGTATTACTAGATCAGGAGGAGCCATGGAATTGAACAATTTGGAGGATTTTAAGTTGGAATCGATCCCTGATGGCTTGCCGCCAGACCATGGCCGAACCCAAGATGCTGCAGGCCTCATTGATGCAACGATGAAGAATTTCTTCAGTCCTTTCAGGGATTTGGTTTCAAAACTCAATGACTCCATACAAGTCCCTCCCCTTACATGCATAATTTCGGATCTCAACTTTACGCAGGTTGTTGCAGAAGAGCTCGGGATCCCAAGGATTTGTTTGTGGGTGACAAGTAGTGCTGCTTTTTGGGGTTTCTTGCACTACTCCGAACTTATCAAAAGAGGAATTGTGCCATTCAAAGGTCTCTCTCCCTCTCTCTCACACACATTCTCTCACTATAACACTAATTACTCGATGTTAGTTATAAGAAATGCCCTTTAGAACCCTTATCCAAAACAAAACTGTAAGTAGGCAATATCTATTATGTGTGTGTGCGAGCTTGAGAGAGAGATTCTCAAATCTTGGTGCCCTCGTTCTGTTGTTTTCTTGTCATTCTTTTGTAGTTCACTTCAAAAGAAAAGATAAAACTATATGTTCCCCCTATAGGTCCTCACAGTGACAGAGAATGTGCTGGGTTGATAGTAGCATCTCCCCTTATGAATGCAGTCTCGGACTCCATTTTTCATTCTCACCAAAATGATACAAGACCAAATCCTTACTACCAGACCAAAAAGAAAAAAAAGCCAAAAAAAAAAATCCTCACAAGAGCCATGGGCCACTTCTGTAGGGGAAGTATTCAACAGGGCACAAAAGTGGTTGGGCTTTGTTTTTTGTTTTTTGTTTTTTTGGGGTAATTATGTGGGGAAGGAAGGCATGCCCCCTTCCCATTTCTCCAAGTAAATTAGAAATTAGTTTTTTAAAGGTATTAGTGGGGTGATGTTAGTGGTGAGAATGAAAACACCGTTTCTATTTTTCTAAATAGATTAGGAATTATCTTTTTGAAAGTATTAATGAGGTGATGTTAGTGATGGAAATGAAAATCACAACGTGGTTACTAAGGTGAATGATTTACCATCTAAAAAAATGTTACTCATAGTTTGAATTCTTCCAAGTAATTATGACAAAGTATAAAAAGCAGTCGTAGATTTATATTACAGCTAGAACGTCTTTGGCGGTCCAAATGGCCACCTCCCATTGTTATCTTTCCTAGCTTTGAGGGTACTCATGAAAATAGTCGCTCAACATTCGATTTAAACACTTGAAATAATAACTATTTTTACTATCTACTTTTATGGTTTCGGGGATCTGGTGTTGCGCCTCCGTGTAATGGTGCACCAACCAACCTGCCACCTATTTAGGTGCAACTATTGAAGAATTAGGGTCCTATACAATGAGACCATTTACCTTTTATATAGGGATGTCATAGTTATTTACAACCATCTGACGTGAAATTTGATAGCTTGGGTGTATCATAATATTAAACAAAAAATCTCTTGAACTTTAAATTTGAATAATGAAATAAATACAACCATCCAATTTCACACCTAATGGTCAATATTAATTGTGACCACTTTATACCAAACGTAAATGGTCTCTTCATATAATTTCCCTAAAGAATTTTCTTGGTGGTAATGGGCTGGGACCTCGGTATAATGGGTTAGGTCAACCCAACTTGTGTCCATGTTTTTGGACCCGGATATAATCCAATGGGTTCAAAATTTGGTCTTACAACCAACCCGGTTCGGGTCTAGGTCAGTTCGGTTTCTGATCTAGAACCTAAATGAAAATATTTTGAAAAAATAAATGGCTAAAAGTGATTGTGACCTCTTTGTACTATGATTAAATGCTATGTGATCCCTCTATGAGATTGTATACTATGAGACTGCTTATTTTTAGTATAAGTAGGTCACAATCATTTTTAGCTATTGGATGTGAAATTTAATAAATGAAAGTGCGTCATAATATTTAAGAAATTTTGATTTTGGACTTTGTGCCCAATCAATGAACATCCTCAACCACTTGATTTCGAATCTAATGGTCAACGATGATTGTGACCTCCATGCATCAAAAATAAATGCTCTCATTATATGCATTTCCTACATATATAGGCAAAGCATTACACATTAAAAAAAAAAAAGGTTTATAAAAGGTTGTAACCTTATTTGTAGAAGTAAAGCTGCAGTAATCTATATTATCAATTTTATTTGGACGATGCAGATTGGACATTATTATAAAAAACATGTCATGTTTTGGTATTTTATTAAAAAACGTGTCAAATCTACATATCCAAGTATATTAAATAGTACAGAGTATTACAACCTTATTTCTATAAATAACGTTACAACCGAACAAAAGTTGCACCATTCCAAAAAAGGTGTGGTTTGTATAAGGTTGCTACCTAAAACAATCAAATTAAGGCGCACCTCCAAATTTTATCATAAACATAATTTTGGGTTTAAAAATTCTTAGCATAGCTTGAAAATCTATTTTTATCTCTAAATATAAATTCATAAAACTCCAAAAATGGTTCAAATCAAATAGATCTATAAACACTTGAAAATCTTGAAAATTGACGGTCTAGATAATTTGTTGCAAGATACATATTTATTGTGACTCAATTTTTTTTTTCTTTTCGTATTCATGTATCTCGATGTCGAGATGATCAATTAGAGGTTTTCCAATAACAAAACAACCTTCTATGATGGATTTTTGAGGTGCACTTTAATTCTATATTTTAAGGTTACAATCTTATATAAACGTTTCCCTTTATATATATATTTATATATGTGTGTGTACATGTATACGTATCTTCAGTCGGGTCCAGGTCGATACAGACCCGACCCAAATCTGACTTAGGTCTAGAATTTTGAACATGAACCCGACCCAGGTCCAAAACGTGAACTCAGACTCGAACTTAGACTTGGATCACGTCGGCTCGACCTTTTTGTCATTCGTACTAAGAGCAAAAAACATGGACTTCCAAACAAGACCTAGAAATATTTTCATGACCAAAAAAATTTGGGTATGTAACGTCCTTATATCACCCTCAAAGAACAAGGAGAAGTCGGTGCACTTTGTACATCCCTGAAAAGTTAAAATCCCAAGAATGACTACTAACCATCCAGTTTTTCGAGACGGTTAGACCGAAAATTTTTATAAATTCATTTTTTTTTTTTCTTTCAATATTCAAGTAGTGATTTTAAAGTAAATCCAAAATTTTTTTATAAGAAAATACACTAAAATAATTATTTTGCTTGAGGGAGCAATTCTTTAACATGCTCATATGGGAGGAAACTCGATGAACATCATTCTTTATTTTTTCTTTTTGATGACAAGGAGGCGACATTTCTTTTGGAAAAATATACAATGACATCATTTATTTTTGACACAAAGTGGTCACAATTTTTCATGACCATTGGATATAATATTAGATGGCTGCATTTTTTCCATTAACCAAGCTCAAACTTCAAAAGAAATTTTTTCAAACTTTGTTACACATCGAAGCTGTGAGATTTTGCATTATATGGTTGTAAGTAATTGTGACCTCCTCGTATCAAAAGTAAATTGTCTCATTGTATACAACCCATTTCTTTTTAGTAATAAAAGGGTCACATTTATCTTACTTGGTAACTTTAGGCTTTGTAATTACTCCGTCAATCCCAGTATAGGGTCCCCATAGGGGAATTAAGCAGTTCTCTTGAATTTTATTTTTGAGGTAGAGGTTAGCTATCGCACTCATCTAGACGAGGCCAATCCGTGATCAAGAAGGCCAATGGCCTACCGTGGCTTTCTTGTATGAAGAGGGTGGTTCAGCTTAGCATCTCATCCCGATGTCAGATCATCATCATCATCATTATCAAAGCACCCAATTATTTAGAGTCAAGTAGAAAAAAAAAAAAAACTAATCTCATTTTAACTCTCCAGGTTTTATTCCTGCCCACTATAACCCGTATATATATATATATATATATATACTGGTAGAGCTGGCAAAAGGCTAGGCTAGTCTTGGGCTAGCCCAGCTCTTGTCCCTATGGGGCTGGTTTGAGTCCGGCCTGGTCTTACCCCACCCTAACTCGGCCGACCCTAACTCGGCCGAAGAGTAATTGATGAAGTAGAATGAGCATGGTGATGAACTTATTTATTATTTTAATATGTCAACCATTCGAATGGAAGGCGGGATATTATGTTGAGGCATCCACCGGCCTAACAACCCATGCACCACTTCCACCCCCATTTTAACATTTTAAAATAAACATAGTTCTTGGACCATTATGATAATACAAGTTAAATAAATAAATTAATAAATAAACTTGGTTCGCATTTCTTCGTAAGCAATTATGCATTTTTAAAATTTCTAATAGTTCGAAAAACTCATCGCAGCTTTTCGCAGCTCTTAGGTGTATGGACTCATCCTTGGTAGGGTGGGAGACCGCCACAAAGAGTTTCAAATAGAAAACACAAGCTTAGGACTAAAATACAAACTATGTGAAAATAATTCAAAATTGGTTATGATGATTTTTTACAATAAAAATTTAGATGAAGCACATTTCAGTTTCAAAATTTGACGATATTTGGGAAATTCTTAAGGTTCTAACAGATCCAGCAAATCTGGCGACCCATCAAACTGTTTACATAGCCTAGATCTTGACCTGACTGGACCCAACTCGGGTTCAAGGTTTTGGTGCTGGATTCGACCCATCGGATTCAAAACATAGAACCGAACCCAACCTGGTTTAGGTCCGGGTCACGCATAGGAACCTAACAAACATTTTTTGAAAAATATTCAAAAAAATATATTTCAAATATATAAGTCATACACATATACATCATATATA